GCCCTTGTATATAAAATTTTGGTATTGACAGGCTTGGTGTAAAAAGCGGTCTTCGCTGAGAGGCAATAAAGAAAAGGAGAACAACAAATAAGTTTTTTAAAGACACTCTTTGAAGATTTAAAGTACTTGATCCCAAAAACTACTCTATATATTTTTGCCGAGTTTTTTGGTATTTCTCTCAAAATTTTTTCCAAAAAGTGGGAATTTCGGCATACCCCCAGTAAACGATCAACATTGTTTATACTACTAAATTGGAAAGTATCATGAGGAAGACAAGCGCTCTACACTTGACAACTGTTGAAAGACGTGTATGAATAGTAGATAAACAAAGGTCAACTATATAGTTTTGTATCAATGAGTAAATAAAAAAAATTTTGTATTCCCTATGTAACAAGAACTATTTTAATACCGAAGTAAAGCAAAAATAGAGATTGTTTTGTGGAGTATTAAATAATTTTTAACCAAAGCATTTGTTTTCTCAAGCATCGGTGTATCCGTTGCTTTCATGGTTTTTGCTTTCTTCTTTTTGTCTTTCTCTTTTTTTTATCCTTTTTTTTTTTTTTTTTGTTTTATTTAGTTTTTGCTTAGGTTTTGTAGATTTTCTATTTTTTGTTCTATTTCTTTTTTTAAGTTTAGTTTTTTTTAGTATACTTGTCATTCTTGAGACAAGAATTATGAAATCCTCTTGCTTAGATATTAAAAAGGGGAAGATCTTAAAGAAATTAGTGATTATGATGGGTGGCCAATTCTAGTTGATGATATACCTATTTACTTCGGTTTCAGGAGAGATAGATATATAAACAAAATCGGCTATAGCAAATTGAATATAGGTGTCTAGTAGATAACTGGGTTAGTCAAAGCTTGTAATTTAGATGGTAAACTAGTGTTTTGGCAAAAAGTTTGCATGTGGTAAAGCCAATTGCAATAAATCTAATAAAAGTTTTGGCATGACTGCTGAATTTTTTAAAAAAAAAAAAAAGTTGTAAAATTTAATAAAAATAAATCTTATTTAGTATAGATAGAAATATAAAAATATTATAAGATTATTTAATATAAAAAACTCTAACACTAACTTTAAACTAACTCTAATTTATACTATAATCCTTACTCTAACTCTAACTATTTATAAATTTAATTAAATTAGTTCAAATAGTTATTTTTATATTAAATAATCTTATAATATTTTTATATTCTCACTTATACTAATATCAATCTATTTGAAATTTGGATAACAAAATAAAAATTTTTTTTTATAAAAAATTTGTTATACAGTATTTGTTAAACGAGTAAAATTACTTAAATATTAAAGTTTATATATAAAATAAGGTTAATTAGCTTAATAACAAATAAATAAAATTTACAAAAAGTTTATATTAAAGCCAATATATATAACCTCTATATATTATTCGGGGTCCTCTGTATACTAATTAAAATATGTTAATATAACAACATATATATCAGATATACAGTGGTATTACTTTTTATACAGTAAATAAAAGTTTCTGTAGTATCTAAAATTTTGAGTTTCGAAATTGCGATTCTGATCATGTATCACGTGGTATTTTCGCAGAAAATGTTAATAAACAATTTCTCGTGATCTAGTGATCAGACATTTTTTAATATATAATAAGTTACCCGGATAACCGGACAATTTAATAATACCCGGGTAGATATTTTCTTGACGGGTACAATCTCTAGATCAGATTTGGATGATTTTAGTACATTCGATAAGACGAATAGAATAGTAGTAAATCATCCAATCCTATTCGTGACATTTATCGTATAGGTATCTATATATCTTATATTTAATTTAAAATAGTAAATACGTATATAGTTTCTATTTTCATTATGTCGGACTTGTAAAATGATCTTTATTTATAAGTTCTTGATATATTTATAAAATTTCAAAATAAAATTCTAGCTTAATTTGGTGACTTAGTTATCCGCCGTAGTGAGTGTTTGATTACATAATTCATAATGATAAATTAGAAGAGCTCTTAAAAATTTATACAAAAATGTACATACGTACGTACCAGAAAATTTATCAGTGGCTTGGCTTTTGTAGATATTAACAATTTATTTGTATTACACACGTACACTAAATAGAAATTTTAATACTGTAATATAGACATAATATATAGTAGACTACAGTAACATTCATAAATACGTATATGTGTACGTAATAACTCATTCGTCAGTTTTTTGTAAACATAGGAATTCTTGGGGTAGATTTTCTTTAAAAAATTTGTGTATATATTTTTTAGATATAATAGTTTAAAATACGTAAAAACGGTGTTTATGTTACTACAGCGACTGTTTGATGTTCACGGTCTAAAGATATCGAAAAAATTTGCAGATCATTTACTTATACATTATTTATGTACATACTACTGTGAATATCGTATATGGACCAAAAAAACCATCTTTTTTTTATATATCACATATATTTAAAGAATTTAGCGGACATATATTAATGTCGAACAAGAAAAGCTGAAAAACAATCGCGATTTAATTGGCAAAACATCACGTTATCAATTTAAATTTTTTTTTTATTAACAGAAATAAGTAAAGGGGAATTTAAATAATTCGGCAAATCTGTCCAAATTGGTTAAAAGCAAGTAAATGTCATATGAACAATTATGTGAGATTACTTTAACAATCATGCAAAAAAGAATTGTGAAAAAAAAAAGTTCGCTGTTTGTGTATATGTCTGTGTAACATTAAAAAAATCAACAATATAAAGGATCTCAAATTCTTTACGAACGAGATGTACTGGTAATAATCGTTTAGTTTATCAGGTAAATAAATATACTAATCAACTAAGTAATGTGTATCTATTTGTACTATAGTCCATTCACGAGCTATTTTTGAATATTAGACAATAAATTATGGCAAGTGGTCTTAAACTTACAGAGTTTGTAAAAAGGCCTGGCCTTGGTACGAAGGGAAAACGTGTGCGAGTTCGAGCGAATTTTTTTGAAGTTACTGCTCTACCTGAGGCCAATATACATCACTATGATGTTACAATTACTCCTGACGTACCACCTGCTTTGAATAGAAAGGTATTTAAACGGTTTGAAGAACTTGAACGTAATGGTGGCTTAGGAGATGTTAAACCCGTCTTCGACGGTCGAAAAAATATTTTTACTTGTAAACCTTTGCCATTCGGAGAAACTGCAACTTTCGACGTAAATATTCCAGAAGATGATGGGGTAACGTCAACAAAACGTCCACCGCGTTCTTTCAAAGTTAAAATTAAAAAAGTCAATTCGATTAATATGGAGGAACTTCGCAGATTTTTAGAAAGTAAATCCGAATTGACGCCAAATTGTTTGACAGGTTAGGCTATATTCAATTATAAAGTTCAATTACAAGTATTTTGGATAATTTTAATTTTGTTATTATTAAATTAATTATGAAATTATGTATACTTTTATAATGGGTTTATAGCTATCATGGCACTTGATGTTTTGATTCGTCATCAACCATCAATGTCATATAACACTGTCGGAAGATCATTTTATACTCAAGAAGGTTCACAAGCTCTTTTTGGTGGTGTTGAAGTATGGCAAGGGTATTATCAGTCTGTTCGACCTGCGCCTAACCTAATGATGGTAAATATTGATTTGAGCGCCACAGCATTTTTCGAAGGTGGCTCATTGGTCCAAATGGTATTGAAGCTGCTTAATAGACGATCCGCTGATGAATTACGTCGTGGAATAACCGATAGAGATCGTGCAAAGCTTGAAAAATCGTTGAAAAAACTTAAAATCAAAGTTACACATAGAGGTGATACAGTAGCGAAACGTCGGTTTAGGATTCTTAAAATTACGACTACACCTGCCTCTGCGACCAAATTTGATGTTGAAGGTCAAACTACCGACGTGGCCTCGTACTTTCAAAAAACTTATAACATGCGCCTTAATTATCCGTTCCTTCCTTGTATCGTGATTCGAAAGGAAAATTTTCTTCCTATGGAAGTTTGTGATGTAATTGAAGTAAGTTAAATATAATTTTTCTTGATGAATAAACACGTTAACTAATAACTAAGAATTAGAATTAAAAAAGTTAATCTAAGAATGTTAAATAATTATTTATTAATTTTTTCATGAATTTTTTTTTTAAAAACTTTTTAAGGGTCAACGACATACTCGAAAACTCAATGAAAGACAAACTGCCGATATGATTAAATTTACATGTCAGCAACCTCATATGCGAGCGAACAAAATTAAACGCGGACTTGAGATTCTCAACTATCGTTCAAATCCATACCTTCAACAATTTGGTATGAAGGTTTCGAATGAAATGGCGGTGGTAAATGCACGAGTTCTACCTACTCCTACTTTACAATATCATCAATCGTCTAGGGAAGCCTCTTTTTCTCCCAGAGATGGCTCATGGAATTTGAGAGACAAAAAGGTCGCAACAGGTGCAACTCTTGGTTCATGGGCTGTAATTGCGTTTGGAAGTGAACGCGATATGCAGATGCAAGCTATCCAACATTTCGTTCGAGAATTGATAATTACTTGTCAGGATACTGGCATGAATATACCAAATAGAACCCCTCCTATATTGCACGCTAACCCACATGGTGACATTGAAGGTTCTGTTAAACAAGCTTGGGTTCGTGCTGGTAACACGGCTAAGAATAAACCACAATTATTATTATGTATATTACCCAATACGGGAGTTGGACTATATGCTGAAATTAAACGAGTTAGTGATACTGTTATCGGAGTGGCGACTCAATGTGTTCAAAGCAAGCATATGTTTTCAGCGAAAAAGCAATATTGTGCAAATGTGTGTCTTAAGATGAACGTGAAACTTGGAGGAATGAATTCATACATCCTTCCAGCTGAAGTGCCATTTATTTCTGACCGACCAACCATTTTAATGGGTGCAGATGTTACGCATCCAGCTCCTGGTGATACAAATCGACCATCCATTGCTGCACTTTGTGCTTCAATGGACGCTAAGGCATCAAGATACGCTGCTTCAATTAGAGTTCAAACTGGTCGTCAAGAAATTATTTCTGATCTATCTGGTATGTGCAAAGAATTGTTAAAAACTTTTTATCAAACTTGTGGGAAAAAACCAGATAGAATTCTATTTTACCGCGATGGTGTTTCTGAGGGTCAATTTTCACAAGTTCTCGAAGGAGAGATTAAAGCAGTAAGAGGTATATATTATTTATTTATTTTTATTTATTTATTTATTTATTTTTGATAAACATTTCAACATTTTGTTATATGCTTATTCAAATTCTTTCAAATTAGCTGCATGTAAAGGACTTGATGCGAACTATAAACCTAAAGTGACCTTTGTTGTTGTACAAAAGCGACATCATGCGCGATTCTTCCCAATGGATAGAAAAGATGCGGATAGAACGGGTAATTGTATGCCGGGAACCGTAGTCGAGTCACAAATTACTCATCCATTTGAATTTGACTTTTATTTGCAAAGTCATGCGGGTTTACAAGGGACGTCCCGTCCTACACATTATCATGTATTATATGATGAGAATGGATTTACTCCAGATTCACTTCAAACCCTTTCTTACAACCTATGTTATGTGTTTGCACGATGTACGCGTGCAGTAAGTTTAGTGCCTCCTGTTTATTATGCACATTTAGTGTGCGGTCGAGCTCGTTTCCATTCACGTGGGGAAAACTGGAATGATAATGAGGGTACTTCTGAAGAAAGCACCAGTACTGCTTTAACGTTTGGCACTGTAAAACCAGAATTGCAAAAAGTCATGTACTTCATGTGAGGGTAGGGGTGGTAAAGTCCTTAGGTCCGGGACTTTAGAACCTGGTCTTTAAACCTAGTCTTTAAAGCAAGTTCAAATTTAAGGACCTAGGGTCCCCAGGTCTTCAAAAAAAGTTCTATTATAATAGTTTAAAATGAAATTATAATTTATAAAGTTCATTTCAATTGCAAATTTCTGCTATTGCATAATTCTGGACAGCCTAATCAAATATATATACTGTATAGTTTCAATAAAGTTTTAAATGCATAGTTTATTATAATCATTTATTTGTAATACAGTATTATTACACATTCTAATAGGTAAATGGGGTAACGTGAACTAGTCGCAGCAAAAAAAAAACGTTGATCTAAGCCATAAGACTCGCGCATTGATCGAAAGAGCGAAGGCATTTAATAAATGCCAATTCGGGTTTGGATTGAGGCGAAGAACAATAGTAAGGCGCCTCTATGGTGGGAACTAAAGTCATAGTATGTGAGGGTCGGAGAAAATTCTGGATTATTATTGGATAAAAAATTTATTACCAAAATTCGCAATAATTATATTTTAAAACGAAAGTTTTCTTGGCGAATATACCGTAAATTCTCGAAATAGCGGGCATCTGCGCGCTATTTTGACTACGTGCGCGTTATTTCTTCGAGGTGCGCGCTATTTCGGGACGCGCATGGGCGAAACCACTCATGCTATTTTTAAGGTGCGCGAATTTCGAAATAACGTTATTTCGAGAATTTATGGTATGTTTTATCATAACATTGATTTTTATTTACTAAATCAAGTACATCGCGTGCTTGTATTATAATTGTTGTGAATAGAATATACACTTATTGCTCTATTAGAATTATAGAGATTATTAACAAGAATAGTATTTGACAATTGTTTTTATATATCAATATATAACAGTATCATATATAAATATAATATATATGTATATATACAAATCATTTTGCAATACAGCGTGCATTGAATGTTTTATAAATATCTTATGTACTTAATTGATAATCTATTTTTTTTTTTTTTCGCAATATACATAATAAGTTACCTCCCGTGTATAGTATCCTTTATTATAGGAAATTTGTGAAATACCCTAAGTCATTGACGCAATTGGAAGATTAGAAGGATTGGGAATTGGAAGAATAGAAGCTTCCAATTTCAATAAAAACTATTAAAAACTTCTCAATGCGAGCAGATATACATATTGATATAATATTTACAGTATAGTACATATACAGTATATATGTTGTAATTACCAGTTATTGGAATCTTAACGAGTACGTACGTACAGTACTTAGAAAAAATTGAGAAAGCTCAATTCTAATAAAAATTAAAAATTATAGGAATCTTCCAATGTTAATCACTGCCTTTGCTGTTATAAACGTATTTACCCATTTTTCGGTCACATTGAGAACTTTCGAATAAACGCGTATAAATAAAAGTATATGGCTTTAAACATGTCACCATATAAATACAAAGTTTTCATTCTCTATTATTTATCGCTCCCAAGAATTTATTTAATACATAGTATAATTGTTATGTAAAATCTAAAACTATAATATTTGTTCTCTTTAAATTAGGGAGGTTACTCAGTTCACAACTAGCTAGACTTTAATATGTAGAGCTAAATAGTCGACTTATTTGACTAAGGTATCCTTATCCAGGACCAACCTAATAAGTAATTTTAATGAGCAAAGATATTTTGTGTAAAATCTGGACTTTATCTTGTATTGTACTAAACTTACCTTGGGAATGTCGTAATGTTCTGTCATTTCTTCTAATTTTCTATTTAATTCCTGAATAAACAAGTTTTATGCGTTAAATTTTTAAGTAAAAAAAGATTGATATAGGTTTTTGTTTACTAAAATATTTATTTACCGCCACACGTTCTTTGTGTGATTTTCTCGCAGCCTTTTCTACCTTCTCTTCCAACTTTGGATATTATTATTAATAATAAAAAAATTTTGATTATTAATAATTTTTTGAATTACACTAACGTTAACGATTACTATTATTACAAAATATAATAATAAGAAAATATACTTACCCTCTTTCTTTGAATCTCTTCGAATTTCTTTTCTGCTTCAGTTTTAGTTACAACACGAATCGGTTTATTGGTTTCATCTTCAATTATTTCTTTAGCTAATGCTGCTAGCTTATCTTTTTCTTTTTTTTTCTTTTTTTTTCTTTTCAAAAAATAAAAAGTTAGTTTTAAAAAAAAAACAATCTTTACAAGATCAAATATGATTAAGGTGAAGTTAAGTGTATTTACTTTTTTTCAACACCTCCTTTAAGTCTTAGAGCACCACCCGGAACATTGTCATATTCAGACATGTCGAAAGACGGAGCAAAATTAGAATAGACGCGATCTTATTATTAAAATATTAAAAAATCATAAAGTAAAAACGTAAGACGAATACAAATAAACTAGCATATTTATAGCAGTGTAATCAGTTCTAAATCAGTTTAAACCGTAATTAAATGTTGATATCCCTTTGCACTCCGTATTGTTAATTTAGTGATCCCACTGGAAAAAAATACTAATGGCTTAATCTATTTCACCTTTAAATTGTCACGAGTGATCTATGATCGAATTATATTAGACTTAGTCTTATCGCATTGTATTTCTAGTATGACGATATTAGTGTACGTTAAGAAAACAAGGATCACTTTGCAATATCCAATATTCACACTCCAATACAAAAATAAAATATACATTAATATTGATAATGAATTTACTATTTTTTTTTTTACATTTGTTATAAACCAGTTCACTTAAAATTTTTAAATAGCATTACATCTTGAACCATTCTCAATTGAGCAGTATCTAACTGTGTTAAAATAAATTCTAAATCACTTAAAGCTTTCGTTTCATTTTCTGTCAATAGTTGAATAAATGTATTACTATTTAATTGTTTGAGTGCATCTTCCTTTTCTTTTTTATCCAATAATCGTGCTGCACCAGATTCTTGTTCAAATCTGACTTGATGAATATTTGCAAGCGTACGGTAATAGTTATTAAGAATTATTTCATAGCATTTGTTGTAGTCAACGTACCAAAAAAAGAAGGTACGTGATGGCGCTCGATCCCCCGATCTTGGTACTTCCTGAAATGAAGGAATTGTAATTATTAGAAAAATTATTTTTAATAATATCAATTGATAATTAAATATTGTGTAAATTACTTGGACTTGAGCAAATCCAGCGTTAAGTAATTCAATAAGTTTTTGTCGAACATCTGTTACACTCATCAAAGTAAATGCGGTAATCTAAAAAAAAAAAAAAGGAATTCATTTAATCGTGCCAATATAGTCCAAACATTGATAAACAATTTACTAACCGCTTTTTCATCCAATTTTTGTTTTGTATGTAAAACTTTCAAAATTCTTGCTCCTTTTGTACCAAATTTTTCTAATATAATATTTTCAAAAACTTGTTGCTTCAAAGATTCACATAATGCATTATATCTAACAAAATACATTCCACCCATATTTTCATCTCGTTTACATAAAATATTTGCATCATCATCAATCAGATGATCTAAATATTGCTTAATAAGAGATTCACGGGTAACAGTTTTTCCTTTTTCTGTTTTCATCTGTTGACCAAATAATTCATCTTTACTTTCTGGAATAATTTTAAGAATTCTATATAATGAAATAGAACCTAATAAGATAATAAAACGTTAAACAAAAGCTTTTCGTATTTAAACATAATGAAATTTTATGAAATATATTTACAAGATTCAACTTCACTTGCTTTATCACAGTCTGCAATGTCTAGAATATATTTTATAATAGTTCCCGCAGAACGATTAATGCGATCCCTAACGAACTTTGCGAAACGCTATGAAACATATTAAAAGTAAATTTATGTAAAAACGTATAAGAATTCATCAAAAATAAAAATTCTAATTTGATTATTACTTTATTTCTTTCTTTAACGTTAAATTTTTCATAATTCACTCGAAAATATTGATTATCCTAATATAAAAAAAATTACGTGATATCGATAAATATCAAAATTTATGTGAAAGTGAAAGTGAATTTGGAATACCGCATTGTATGTAATCAAAACTTACATCAATTGTAATCTCCCCTTTTTGTTGCTGAAACGTTAAATCAAAGATTTATTATCATTAGGGCTTCATTATATTATACCAGCTAAATAAAAATTTACATGAGAGAAATATTTTAAATTCAGACCTTTGTTGGTCTATCCAAATTTTCCAAATTTAATCTGCGTTTCTATTATAAATTTTTTCGTGAAAAATAAATATATTGTTATTAATAGCCAAATAAAACCTTAATAAATAATATTAGACTGTTACCGATCCAATTGCAGTATCTTCCGAATCAAGATTAGCAGCTAATTTGGCTTTAGCTTCGGCCATTTGTTTTTTGGTGGGTATGAAATTGGTTACTTTTGCTAATTCTCGTTGTTCTGCTTCAGAAGCTTTATCTCTAGCAGATTTTGAATCGGTAAAATCAACAGATAAAATATATTTTTTTTCAATCATTTTGGAAAAGGTTTCTTTGATATCTTTGTATCCTAAAAATAATAATTATTATTATTATTATTTACGTGTCTTACATTCCAAATAAGAATTTACATACTTACTGCTTGATTTCTTGTTAATTTTTTGATCTTCAACTAATCCTCCAAAGGTCACTTTACCATTAAGCAATATATATTTAACAAGTTCGCTCGCATGCTATTGAAATCAATAATTAATAAAGCTTTATAATATAAAATTTTCTTTTAAGATACTAGATAAAAATTTACTCTTGATTCAATCCATTCATTAGCGTTCTTTATATAAATACCGAAATTTAACCTTGCTAAAATTTCGTCTATTTCAATAGAATAATAAATTCCAATTTTTTGACTTTCTCTTGCATCAGCCCAGTATACCAAATTATGTTGGATCAGTATGAAAAGACATTCTCGAGTTTTAGTCAAAGTAAATTTTGAGAGTTTAGCGATTACTGGCAAGGTAAGTCGGCCTTTTTGTAAAAGAACTTTGGCGACTTGCTTTATGTGTAATAGTAATTCTTAGTTGATTTTTAAAAAACAAACTATGAAACTGAAAGCAGCAGCACCCTACTTCAACGATTGGTCCAAAGTCGTCTCGAATAAGGTAACAGCATAAACGATTGAGCGTTTCAGCCATATTATTAGAAATGCGTAATTCGAAGATTTAAAAGTTTTTATCGCGTTTTTTGCTTTTATAACAGATAACAAATCACGAGATTACGGATAACAGGCAAAAATCACATGACCTTGTGCATATGTAAAAGGAAAATGATGCAACGATCAAGAATTTTATTATATTATTAGAATTAATTAATGTCGAATTTGCTGTTTTTTCATGCCTCCCGCTTCTATTCTTTTTATTTCTTCCGTTTCTTCCCACTCTTCCTCCTCTTTAACTTCTAATGCCCCCTCCTCCTCATCATAGTGACGTACATCATATCTTTTTCCTCTTATCCCAAAAATTCCCCAATTTGGATAGACACCAATTCGTACATCTTGTATATCAATGTCTCTTCGTAAACTTTTAAACTCATTTTCACCTGGTTCTAATATCCAATCAAATTCAAAAGTTTCATCCTCTTCTATCGTTTGAATTTCGTTTTTCATATCATTCTCATCAAAAGCGGTAATAAAAATAGTGCATTTAGTTTTCAACAACTGTTTAATCGTTTTCTCCCATAATTCTTTTCCATTATTTCGACCTATACCAGGGTTAAAAAGAAAGAACGCGTCACAATATGGATCAAATGGATATATTGTATCATGATAATCATGATATAAAGAATTTTTCCATGTAAATGAGAGATAATGGTTAAAATGTGTTGTATATGGTTCAGTTCCACGTGGAAGCGATTCTGGACCAACAAAATGAAAATGGAATGGTATGGTTGGGAATAAATATGAAAGTTGTGTATATAGATGTAAAGGTAATTGTGCTTCAGCTCGTGCACCAACGATAAAGATTCGGATCGTTTCTCCGGGTCGAAGTGTTTTTACGTCAATACTAGTTTGTTTTGGATGTAAGGTCGTTCTCAATGCTTAGATAATGAAAAATAGATCATATGTTAGTAATATGCAATAAAAAAAAGTCACTAGGAAATTTACCAGTTAACGACTTTAAGCCTTCGGTTGTCAATCGATTTCGAAGTGTATAAGGACCATTTTGATGTAAAACGGAACCAATGGTTATCGGGTAAGTTAACACTTTAGACACGTGTCTCAATGAACGATCAAGGTCTATACTTGGATATCCTCTCGTGTACAAATATGTGTCCCAATTTAACAAATTAATTTCTTCATCAAGTGGTTGTGAACCTGTAAGCAGCAATAAGTATCAATAAAGTAATTTAAAAAAATTTTAAAATGATTTCAGATAAACTTACTCGGAAATTCAAATTCAGACATTTTTCTACCACTCATTAAATCATGCATATCTTCATTAAATTCTCTTAACATTTTACATGCATGCAATTTATGTTCAATTAAGTTATGTTTATAATGTTCTTCTGAACAATGAGTAGGAATTCCACAATCTGGACACTCATAAGCTGGCTTCTTTTGGTTCTCTTTAGCCAATTCTTCACAGACTGGACATTTACCGAATTTTCTAATTAATTCACCTCGTTCTTGAAGACTTTTTATTGGAGATTTTGATAATGGATGAAATAAATTATCATTTCGAAGCCTAATTTGAGAATCCGTCTTATTTTTGTTAGGCGAAATCATTTTCGAAAATGGTGAAAGACGAAACTTAGAGCTGGTGAATCCCCTGGAGAAAGATGAAACCCCTGGCGAAAAGCGAAACCCTCGGCGAAAAGCGGAACCCCTGACGAAAGGCGAAACCCCCGGCAAAGGGTGAAACAGAAACCCCTGGCTTATGAAACCTCTGGAGAAAGACGTCTTGAAAAACAAAAGACAGAGCTATGTTAGTAATAAATATATATATATAATGATAACTGTTCGACACAAAATATACCATTGTTGCTTTATATATAAATTCAAAGATAGAATTGTTTTTTTTGGCAGCACTTAGTCATATATTATCGGAGATTTTTTTTAAATAATGATAACGCCTCAAATATCTAATTTAAATAAAGAAAATTATCATTCTCCATACGATGCATCCCCTAAATTAGGATTGGATTCAGGTAAGGTAATAGCTAAAAAGATTATTTAAGGCCAAAAATTTTTTTATTAGAATGAAAAGAGCAATTTTAAAGGCAAAATTCCGAGTTAGAAGCGGAAGTTAATTTTTTTTATCAATTGCTTCCTAACCAGATCTTGCACCCTGATTGGTCGATCAGGAGTAGCGATGAATTACTCGGATGATTTTGATAGGTGACAATTCATAGCAACCGCCGATAACCAAAAATCTATTTTAGGTAACCAAGAAGTTGGATGTTCTATTAGAAAAACTATTTTCAAAAAGTAAAATTAGATAACTTCGCTTATTCGTGCTATGCGACAAAATAAAATATATGCTGCGGCAATTTCACCCGAACTTCCACCTGAGTATCATGAGTTTAATATTTGTGCGACATATGCGTAATTGAGGAAATATGCATAAATTGTTTACATTGCATTGTTTACATCGTTTCGTTTCCTTTCCTTTCCTTTACGTTTACAACTACGTAATTTACTTCTTTTTCTTTACCACAAATTACACGAATTAGTACTTTTGACAGGCAAGTAGATAATATTATACAAACACTGTTCAGAAGTTTTTTTAAAATTTTTTATAAGGCCTACTGGTTCTTAAGATGGAACTGGTTACGTCTCCCTTATAACAAAGAGTAAAAAAAACTTTAATATTACCTATTTTCGTATGATTGAATTAAGTTTTCGACTATGATGTAGCGGCTAAATACGTAGTTTCGTGAAGTATTAGTAGCGGTTCTACTAGTCGTGAGCGGCCAAGCTTAATAATATCTGCGATTATAAATAATATTAATTTATCTGTATTTTATTTTGTTATTTTTATTCACTTATTACACAAACTCTGCTCAGAAGTTTTTTTGGAATTTTTTATAAGGTTTACTGGTTCTGAAGATGGAACTGGTTACGTCTCCCTTATAACAAAGAGTAAAAAAAACTTTAATATTATACCTATTTTCGTATGATTGAATTAAGTTTTCGACCATGATGTAGCGGCTAAATACGTAGTTTCGTGAAGTATTAGTAGCGGTTCTACTAGTCGTGAGCGGCCAAGCTTAATA